AGGGACTTAGTGCTAGCTTAACACAATCATTCCGAGGTGCCTACACCTCCAGACATTCACTCAGGCAATCTGGATAGAAACTGACAACGAGAACGCCACCCACAACAGTTGGCAGCCTTATCTTGGAGCGTCTCCAACCAGGCGCAGTAAATAGCCCAACAACACGTCGATTGGACAGACGTAGCGCGAGTCGGCTACGAGGAGAACGAAGGCATGCCCTAACTGGTCAGAATCTCAGCCAACAGAAACAAACATTTATGGCTCGGCGCTTCTGGTCCACTACGAAGAATCTAGCGTGATCGTGAGGGAAATTTTGCGATAAACCTGCAAATAAAGCTGTAGTGATTTTCTTTCAGCTCAAGCTACCGCGTCTCTTGATAAACCATACATATAACATACATACCAGAACAGGAAGCCAAGCACCGACATAGGAGTTGCGCTACCGTCTGTCTATCAGGCATGACCAAATACATTCCTTCCATCGTCAACCTAACCAAAATATTTGAGTGACTATGCGAAGTGTAGGCAACGCATTGCCTGAAGCAACCAAATGATTTCAACTCATGACCATGCGGGTGTTTCCCAAACTGACAGAAGTAAGATAGTGTTGCCTACGAAATCAAGGCCACAAAATAACACACATGGGCACAAACCAACGACCAAAGACCTCTCACCTGACTCTTCTTCTCCAAGCCGGCTACGACACGATCAATTGCCTTGTCGAAGTGCACCAGAGTAATGCTCTGCGCATCTTCGCGCGCCGCAATTAGTGCCGCCTCGTTGCACACGCTCGCTATGTCAGCACCAGAGAAACCAGGTGTACGGGCAGCCATTCGGCGGGCCACAGTCTGAGGATCCTCAGCCAGTTTTAATGGTTTCAAGTGAACCTGATAGGTGTTGAAAGGGGGGAATTTTAAGAATAAAACTAGGTCTGTGATGAGGAAAAACACAATGCTAGCGAAAGTGAAACTAGATTTCGACAAATATCCACGACAAGTGCACACCGTCACAAAACTTGGGTGAGTGAATCAGGCAAGCATTAATCTTCGGCACGAAATAAGGAATGAGGTTAGGACGCTCAATACAGTTCGTAAGGTGCTGAGAGGCCAGGACAAAACGCTTTTCCCATACTTATTGTTCAAATCACTGAATGGATTTGAAACTTGTAAACACGAACCCAATAGGACAACGATTATACCTTTTACACACAAAGTTTGGCGTGGGAATAAAAAAGCGTAACAGTACAAATTCGTTCCTAAATCGACGGACTGATTATAGCGAGAACCTATGGACCGGAAGGTCCGTAGTTCGAACCCGAACCCGGCATCTTAACCGTTCCTGTCTAGCCTTGCGCAACCTGGAAGTATCTCAACCCTCGTGCTTTAATCGGATGACATCACAACTAGGCACAGAAAGCGTGTTAGCAGCTGACTTATTCAGATTATTTAAAACGGTTCGTATCTTTGAAGGATCGGAACCAAGGCGAGCCATATCGCCCGCTCTGCTCTGCTCACAGGGAACAACAAAACTTAGATCCCCGAGATTTCAGAAGTAAGTAGAGAAGTTTCAAGCAGTAGGTCAGTAACTCAAAATGAACAACGTAAATCAGTACTTGGATGAAACGTGTCGTATGTCGATGTAAAAGAAGGCTGCACCAAGAAGTGGCTTAGCTGTCCTTACAGGAAAATTAAGCACAATGATTATGGTTTGTCGGTGAACTGGGAAATGCGGGGTCATGTTTTGCTTGGAAATTGTATTTGTCACGACAATCTCCGATCGTTACACATAGTTCCGAGTATAGCTCAGTAACCCTAAGGTTTGAGTACAATCAAAGTTGATGAGATATGACGTCTGCTCTGCTCACAGGGAACAACAAAAGAGTCAATTTGAGGAAAGCCCTGCGAGCTCAGGATAAGCGAGCATTTTAAAAGAAAACATGTGTCTTCATAAAGGAAACTACTCACAAGGTTGGTGAAAACTCTTCCACAATCCACGACCGATTTCACCCTCCTTGGGGCTTATCAGGTAGGCGCAGTCCCCGAGTTTCCGTCAAACTTACGTTCTACTTGAACCCAAATTGGACTGTCTTAGAGAAATACACTCATTCGTGTCTAGTTCAACAGATGGATATGTTCCTGGTAGGGTAGGTAGCGAAAACCATTAGGGCCAGGTATCAAATCTCTTTCAGGTAACCAACTGCTCTGTACATCAGAGTGTGTCGACAGTGTCCAAGTGGATGCACACCACAAGTACTTTCGAGCCCATTCCGCAGACCACACTGGACTGCGGACAAAGAGGTGACTCGAGTGACTCATATCCGGATCGACGTCCACGCTGGGGCACGAGGTGAACGATGCAATCGGGACAGTATCTTTTACTAACGGATGAGATCAAATGGTTTCCGGTAGAAAAAGGCGGTGTAGTCACACACTAAAGCTTCCGGTTAGCAGCTACCGATATCATAGAATAAACCGAGAGGAATTCCCATCACTTGGCCTGTCTAAATATAAGCTTCCGTATCAATGAAGCAGGCGGTCAATTGAAGGCCATATCTTTCTGTTATGGGCTGCAGTTTCAGACCCATGAAGTTCACAGTTTGATAAACGCGGAGTCGTTTGCGACTATAAAAGTAGAAACTCACTCCAATGGCATCAACACGAGATTTTAACGGGAGATGGCGAGATGGCTCAAGTGGCTACAGTGCGAGCTTGATGACAGAAAGGTCCGTAGTTCGAACCCGACCTCTGCCTCTCGACTTCTCCTGTCAAGACTTGGGTAACCTAGCAGAACCCCAGCCCTTGTGCTTTGTTCGCGTAGCATGGCAGCTAGGCACCGAAAGGGTGTTACAGCTAAGCGATTATTATTTTTTATTATTCAACGGGAGCATCTGAGTATAGCACACCTTAGAACGGCCTCACTATAGTAGTTCACTTTGTCCACGAAGACACTGTAATGTGCCATTAAGAAATCACAAGAACTGCCAGATCTCAAAGCCACCACATAACAACTGCACGAACAGGGATAGCCAGGCTGGTAGATTATCTGTTCAACGGGACGGTAAAAACAGTAGCTAGTGGGGAATAATTGAGGAAAAAACTCACTTTGAAAATGGACGCACGACCTTTGATATCTGGCAGCGATACGTAGATTTGACGATCGAAGCGCCCGGGCCGAAGGAGAGCCGGATCGAGTATATCGATCCGGTTTGTGGCTGCCAAAACGACAACATTCTCTTGAGTGGTGAATCCTATTCAGGCGGTGTGTCCAGTTGATTCACGGTCACCGGATGGACAGAAAAGGGAAAACAATGGTTTCGTAAATGACAGAGACGGATATCAGAAGTTGACACGTGTATCGAGTCAGAGAGAAGATTAAATGACACAGATGACCGAAGGTGCTAGTCGCCCCGAGGGGTAACGTAGCCACGTCATCTACGGCGATTGTGTTCATCATTGTAAACGGGGAGTGCGCATACAAGTGAAAAAAGCTGATAGAGTAAACGGAAAAAGTACCACACAAAACGTATAACTACGTGACAATGAAAAAGTTGATTTACAATCAACGAAAACAAAGTTGAGGCGATTGATCAGAACGAACCAACCAGACTTGAACACACCAAGTGTACTAACTAAGGTGATGTAAACAAGATCAAGATCAACAAGGTCCTAAACCGAACCATAGATGACGATAGCTTACAAGTGATTTCTGCTGCCAAATGAAGAGATCAAGCGTAATCTCACAGACCCCATTGAGGGGATCCTGTCCGGAAGTCAGCCGTCCCTAATAACTGAACATCACATCATTAGGGCGGATGTGTCACGTGCAGGGCACGGACCAGACGAAGACATGCCCTGATTGGTCAGAATGCCAGCCAATACGGATCGAGCATCTTTGACTCGACGGTTCTCGCACCTTCACGGAGATTCTGGCACGACCTTGTGGAACACCTTGTGATTACCCTATAAATAAAGCTGTAATAATTTTTCCCTTGTCTCCATAAATGACTGTGTAGAGCTACCGCGCCTTTTGGTATACCATAGTGGGTGGAGCAGGAAGCCAAAGGACTGATACAGAGTTGCATTACAGTTCAACAAGACACAACAGATCCCGAACCCAAGACAAATGACAAACTATAAAGCCGGAAGTCCCCTACACTTCAACACGGCCTATTCAAATGTCCGCGAAATAACTGATAATTGTGTGATTTGAAAGGCGCTCTGAAAACCAGAGTGGATCCAGTTGGTTAACAGGTCAATGACTCGGTCATGTGCCAAACACTCGAACAACCTATGAAATGAGGTGATGATAGAATGAATCAAAGTAAACCGACAGACTGATTAATTAAACTTGATTTTCTACTCTTTGACGCCCACAAACGTGTTGTGTTCTGACCGGCGACGTTGCGCGCACATGTGATCCTGCTTGTTGACACACCACAAATTCCGCATACCACCCTACTAGTATGCTCCAAACCAATCAGTACAAAGTGACGGCTGCGAGCACGTGAAGTTTTGAATGGATATAAAAGACGTACAACACACTGTTGGAAAACAGCATAGCGCACATCTTTGAAATTGTTCTTATCTCTCTCAAAGAAATCGTATATATAGAGGATGGCGAAAAGACGGTGGAAATTCCTGGATATAGAGGGAACAAGAACCGGCCAGAAGCCTTAGTTACTTGATAGCTGGGCTTTGGTCATAGTGATATTGAGCCTAAGCAGGTGAGCAGAACAAAAAACGCCTCAACTGGCAGCCACTGACAAACGTAAATCAAAAGATCAGAGCTATTGAATCTTATTCGCATTGTCGTATTTTAACTAAAAGTGCTCCAACGAACAAAACATATTGCGCTTAAGCTACCGGTCATCCTGGCCATTCTTGATTCTGATTGGATGAGGAAATATCTTGAAAATACCGCCAGGCTTATGACCATACCAAAGCGAATTCGAGCGTGATTTAGGCGAACTTCAATGACTGAACAGCCAGCTAAAAATATCGTTCAGCTGTAACACCCTCTCGGTGCCTAGCTGCCATGCCACCTGAGCTGGGATACTGTCAGGTTGCTCAAGCCTAGACAGGAAAAGTCGAGAGGCAGAGGTCGGTTTCGAACCATGTTGTTCCCGACAGCCAGCTATGGCGCGTTGAAGTTGGATTACCGTTATTCAAAAAGAACACTTAAAAGTCTGGGCTAAACTGCTGGATGACCGTTATTCAAAAAGAACACTTACCGTCCATTTCCACCAACAACTGATTCAGTGTGTTCTCTCTTTCCTGATGTCCGAAACTGCTACCGGACCGCTTGCCACCGATGGCATCAATCTCGTCAATGAAGAGGATGCACGGGGCCTTGGATCGTGCGGTAGAGAACATGTCACGAACGCGTTTGGGGCCGACACCGACAAACATCTCTAGAAACTCGCTGCCGGATATGGACAGGAATGGTACATTGGCCTCACCGGCCGTTGCTTTGGCCAACATAGTTTTTCCCGTGCCTGGTGGACCCTGAAGGAGAGTTGAATCGTCAAACTCAGATCATGGAAGAATGTGGCTGAGCAAAACAGTGCGTACGGAAATCTCTAAGTGATACTTCATGGAATAGTCCTAATCACGTGACTTTGTCTAACTGCTAACTACTTGTTCCGCTCTGTCACTAATACTTTCATATCTATACCCATTTCCGTCCCTTCCAGTCACAGCAAACCGCCAAACACATCGGACTGACTCGTACAGAACACTCAAAGCATAATCAAAGTCAACAGAGAGTACAGCACTACGACAAACAGTTAAACTGTCATTTGGGAGGGAAATCGTAGGTTTATTTAAAATACCATCATACTTATGCACAAAAAACAGGAAAGTTAAGTTTGTGGAGAAACAGTTTTGTCCCGTCGATTGATGGGTTGGATAAGACGCGTAGTGGGCTCTAGGTAGGTGAGTAGCTAGGGCGCGAAACTACAGACTGGAAGGTCAATACCTTGACTGTTCTTGTCCAGGCTTGGACAAACTAACGGTATCCCAGCCCTCGTACTTCCTTCGGGTGGCATGGCAGAGTAGCTAGGGCGCGAAACTACAGACTGGAAGGTCAATACCTTGACTGTTCTTGTCCAGGCTTGGACAAACTAACGGTATCCCAGCCCTTCGTACTTCCTCGGGTGGTATGGCAGCTGGGCATCAAATGGGTGTTACAGTTGAACGATCATGATCGTTATTCACACGCGTGCTCAATTGTGAGCGGCAAAGCAATTCACGTTGGGACCACTGTTCCACCCGTACCAACGAAACTTCCAACAACTGTCTGGCTGATTTCACAGCACAGACAGCCTGTGTTATTCGCCTCTCTATTCCAGAAGTCCTCACGTCACAAAGGGTCCTACATCAGATCCAAAAGCCTCACCAAGTTATAATAATAATAATAATAATAATAATAATAATAATCCATCTACCTGGACAACGGACTGAAAGGACCCCAAACCGGTGCACTAAAGGCTACCGTCAAAAAAGCTCACTCGAGCTGACTCGGCTCAGAGTTTGTATCGCCAAAAAACGATACCAAGATGACAGCTTTTATTTCGGGAAAACGTGAGAAACGCAACCTCAGTTGTCTAGCATCAGTCCACACCTATTCATTCGGCAGTTTTATTCCACAGGAATTTCATTCAACTGTAAAACTTTGAATTGACCATACCACTTAGAAATTTTATGATGAAAAGAAACTGGAAAGTGTGTCCACCAATCGCGGAGACCTGAAGGATATCCTGTGTGGCAAACGATTATTTACGTAAAGTTTAGCCATCGTTCAGCTGTAAGACGCTGTAAGAGCTCTAAGATAGGACCGATGGTCTGTCTCACCTTCAACACTGCTCCACGAGGAATTTTGGCTCCCAAAGCTTCGTACTTTTGAGGATTCTTCAAAAAATTGACGAACTCGATTATCTCCAACTTGGCCTCCTCGCATCCGGCCACATCTGCGAACCGCACGCCAATTTTGTCCCGCTCTATGAGGCGAACAGGTGACTGTGCGAAGTTAAACAGGCCAGATCCCATTCCACCCTAGACGACGGTGGGAGAGAAAAGCGACGAGGTTTGAAGACGGTTAGGAGAAGTGCAGCTCCACGGGCGGAAGTGCACCACGTTTTGAACATCACATGCAATAAATGCAATAGAATGCAACGCGCGACAAAAAGGCAGCAACGGCCCTCTTACATCAACGGTACCCGTGTTGACCCTGATTGATCAATCGCCGGGGCGGGACATTTCACAAACCAAAAGGGATGAACTATACAGTAAGCTGTTGATAAACTCAATTTCAAAATGGACCAAAAACCGACTCACCTTACGGACCATACCCCCGAAGCTGCTTCGTAACGAGTAGAGGACGAGGCCTAGGATGACCGCAGTAACTCCAAAATGGAAAACCTCCGAACTGTAAATAGGGGAGGGGGGATCATACACGAGATGCTGCGATATATTCGTGTGTGCTGATTAAATCAGTATTGTTACGAAAGCAGTTGGCGTGTAAAAAATCAGTTCTAGCAATGTGTAACGATAAACTGATTTGAGCTTAATGGCAAAACACATTATTGTTTCTGTTATCGGTCAACCGACAGTTCGAAGTCGGTGGGTTTCTAACTTGTTGATTACCACGTCCGCATCGTGACGCGAGTTACTGTGACAACTCTACATCGAATGCCTGTGAATAACTGTTTGACATTTAATCATCTTTTATTTCGAGCAAGGAACAGAACATAGGAATCCGGTGCAATCAGCGAACTGAGCTCCGCGAAACACAATAAACGAACAGGTACAGGGTATGCTGCTGCACGAAAACCCCCAATCGTTCAGGGATTGTTCAACAACTAGGGTATGCATGAAACTGTGACCACGACCCATCCACAGACCTAAGTAGTCAACGCGAAATCCTAGAAGAATACGTTTCAGGGCCAGTAAACCCGGTCGCTTTCATCCGAAGACCTGTTATCGACCGTTCTACGCCAGTTCGCCTACTGCTACTGCCAAAATGGCGTTCTGACGGAAATCTTATATGGATAAACAATCTAACCGCATGGTTCGGCTGTAACGCCCTTTCGGCGCATAGCTGCCAAGCCATGCGAAGAAAGAACGAAGGTTGAGATACACCCAGTTATAACCAAGCATAGATAGGAGCAGTCGAGATGCCAAGGCCGGGCTGAAAACACGGACCTCCTGGTCAGTAAGTTCGCTCCTTAACCAATGAGTCATCTTGCGTCCAACACAGCAAAATTACACAGAGAGAGGGAGAGAGAGAAAATCACTTACGCTTGCACCCTTGTCGAATAGATGACATTTATCCGATGCATTGGATCGACGCCCATATGTGACTCTAACTCGCGTAAACCCCGTTCGAACGTGTCCACCGCGCCTATCTCAAACCAATAGGTTGCGGGCTGGGTGCTTTGTGGCGTAGCCAAATCGCGAGAACCAGAGGGTAGATGCACGGTGGGTTCCACGCCGGGTTTTAGATAGACTTGAACCCATGACTTGTTGACAACCTCCAAATGGTCAACCAGTCCTCTGCATTTGAGACAGATGAAGGAATTAAACGGGTATAATTATCAACTCAACTAAGTAATTGATTTGTTGATTTATTGATTAATTAATTATAGAAAAACTCAAGAAACCGAGGGAAATAATTGGACAACAAGGCAGTCGCAATTCGCACGATACCCAGGCAACTGAATGCACTAGTTAATTTTGATATCATATTAATAGGAGGCTGTTGGTGCCCTCATCTCACAAAATGAGGTACTGGTCGAGAGCTGCTGTCAGAAGGTCTACAGTATTGAGAATGAACCAATAAGGATGAATTCTCACAGGTTGCTGGACCACTCCACAATGCCAAGCACAATCATGGTATAAGGAATCATGATCAGTATCGCTGAAAAAAATTAACGATGATTGATGATAATCGCTCATCTGTAACACTCTTTCTCCGGTGCATCCCGAAGAAACACGAGGCTGGAATACTGAAAAATAGGAGTGATCGAGATACCCGGGGGGTGGGTTTGAATCAGGGACCTTGTGGCTAGTAAGTTCGCACCTTAACCACTGGACCATCTTGGGCTCCATCAATACTGACGGCAACACCATATGAGAACACCGGTGATTCACTGGCTCACAACCGTCACCCTATTTGAATAGAGCCTAATAGTTGAAAGAAGAAAGTTAGAAAAAATCGTTCAGCTGTCGCACCCTTTCGGTGCCTAGCTGCCATGCCACATGAAGGAGGCACGAGGGCTGGGATACTGCCAGGGAAGTCGAGTGGCAGAGGTCGGGTTCAAACCACGGACCTTCCGGTCAGTAAATTCGCGCTCTAACCACTTGGCCCATCTCGTCCCCATGAAAGGAGAAAAGTGTGACAGGAACCTAGGGCTGGTCTGCCACAAACATCGGAGGCGTCTACACCTGCACACTCAGTCAGACAATCTGGGTGGAAACTAGCACCACCGACATCGGTTAGCCACCATATCTATCGTTCAGTGTCTCCAATCATGCACACGGTGGAGGTCATGAGGACCCCATCCTGGGATGCAAACAGCACCAACAACACCCACACTTTCATCCGCTCTGGCCTGGCGGGTCAGCTGCAATCAGAGAGAAGGGGGGTTTCCCCCCTCTACAGAACGGTTATGTCTACCGCTTGGTTTCGTATTCTGATTGTTCGTGTGACCCGCCTCAGTGTCTGACTGCCCACGAGGGTATTCATTTCGCTTGACCACCAACGAGATTAGCCATCCGTCGAACTGTGGTACGAAATGAGGGTTGGAGGACTCACCATACATGCCCAGCTTGTTTTTTTTTGTTTCAGGCTCGAAACGGACAGACCATGATATGCTAACGTGAACGAGTGCTGTCAGCTGGGCCAGGAAGACAGTCGAAGTCCACGGACAATTACGGAACACCTGTAGCAGTTAGATTGCAGAGAAAATACGTCCCGCGTCCGGACCTTCATTCACGAAATCTCATCAGTTGTCCTCATCTTTTTGAACTATTTCATCCCGGCATTGAATTTGTACAATACTTCGAACAACGGTTCATTCAGCCATCTGCTAGCTCCACTCCGGGCCGCCGGCCTTCGACAGACTGGTGGACTATGAACTCCCCTCAGTTTCACAAGTGTCCGAATGTATACCTCGACTTAAGCGTTATCGTGCTTCTGGTCGTGAAGGCCTTTCATCTGCTCTGTTCAATGATGGCTGTGAGTCAGTACCTGTCTTGCCTATTTGTGTCTATCTGGGAGAAAGGCTGTCCCAGACCACTGGAGTGGGTCGACAATAATGTCCATTTTCGAAGGCGGTACTCGCAGTAAATGTAGTAACCGGAGAAGACAGTTTGACTCCTGTTGCAACAAAGCTTCTGGCGTGACTGTTTCTTCATCGTCCTATGGCGGCAAGCGAATCACTGAGCAGTGAGCATCAAGCGGGATTTCGACTGGGTAGAGGCTGCGTCGACCACATCTTCATACTCCGTCATGTGTTAGATGAAGCCGTGTATACGACTCACAGTCTTGACTTCAAGGGTTCGCTCTCTCCTGTCAGTCGGTTAGTACTGTTAACCATGCTTGCTTAACTGGGTATACCCCAGAAGTTGAACATAATCCAGTGTTTATAGTCACACACCTCTAGGTGTGCCAGACTGTATGGTGAGCTCTCCAAAAGCTTCCTTACAAGAAAGTGGTGTCCGACAAAGATGTCTACACTCTCCGTTATTGTTCAATTTCGTCATTGATGAAGTAATGAGGCGGACGCCGGAGGGTCTTCAAAATTCCGGTGTTCAAATTGCTTCTGGTGATAACCTTATCAATCTGGAGTACGCCCTAATCCTTGAAGACGAAGACGAAGCAAAAGACCTGTTGAATAGACTGACCACCGTCATATCATCTTTGGGCATGCGCCTTGCACCTTCAAAACTCAAAGTCATGCTTCAGAACGTACAGCCCCTGAACATGTCCACTAAGATTTAAGGAGAATCACCAGACGTTGCGGGGAATTTTACATGCTTCGGTAGATGCATTAGCTCTATCTGATGAAGTCAGTCCACGAGTTTCAAAGGCCTCAATCAGGTTTGCGTTACTGATATCCGTTACCTGTGGCATCAAAAAGGCATACTGCTGGATCTTAAGGGTTGCAAGTACCAAGCTACAATAAGGGATATGTTGTTGTACGGCTGCGAGACGTGGCCTCTGCGGACAGATGGTGTGAGGCGTTCTCAGTTTTATGAAGACCAATGCCTCAGAAGCGTTGGATCGCGTCAACGGATTAATCACGAGGTGATCACGTTTGGTTGTAGGTACTTCAATCGCGGAAAACATCCAGTATCATCGATTACGATGGCTCTGCCATGTTCCACGCATGCCGAGACCGGTGTTGTTCTCTCTGCCTGCTTCAGAACGGCGGAAACGTATGACTTGACAGAAGGGTGTAAGAGAGATCACCAGGAGTTTGTGTGTTGGTGCGGTCCACCTCCCAGGATAGGGTTCACGTGACGCCTCATGCGACTGGTTTGGAACATTACAAGAAAAGACGACTGACCGGTGTCAGTTTCTTTCCAGATTGTCTGGTTGATCGCTTGAGATGCTGGCACTTAAGAAGGCTTGCGATAGACCAGCTCCAACCTCCTTCCTCACCAACTCTTCTTTTCACTATAAGGCTTTAAATATAACTGGATGAAATTTTTTGGTTATACTGCGGTGAAGCATCACAGTCAACAGAGATGTTATTGGTCATGATGACGCACTAGTACCCTACTCTTCACCCCTCTCTGCACTGAGCAACACTATGCATCACTGATGCATTGCTGTCATTGATGACAACGACGATAGAGTGATGCACGATGTAGTTCGATGACAAACCTCCAAAGCAAAGTTTATTTATAGACACTCCTGGCAGTGTAAGTTATCGCTGAATGGGCCTAAATGCCTGCAAGCGACAGTATACGATGTCTGCTACCTTTGTGGAGCGTAAGACATTTGGCCGCCACCCGGCTGCATTATATGAGAGAGAACTCCGTCTGTCTTGCCTTCTGGCGCATCAGTAGGACAGGTAGGTAGAACTTACATCGACTAATCTTGCCTGGATTTCTACAAACAGGTAGTTTTACAATTCCGAGCAGATACAAATAAGGAACGTTAAGGGTATTTTAGAAGTATATTCTAAAATATAATCAATCGCACTTGTGGTAAGCTCAAACACTATTCTTGATTACACCTTCAGTCCATAAAAATTCAGAGACATTTCTCGGCATGTGAACGTGCGCGTAACCTATGTTGAACTACCGATCCAGATCAAGTTAGGAAAAACTCATTGAACTGGTGTCAATACTTATCAGATCAATCGTTTACCGTAATACATAGGCGTCAAAAAACGTAAGGAACGTTGCTTTATCTTTGAAAGGACGGGGAAGCCTTCTCGAGTCAACAAAAAATGTACTTGTGCGTTTCTGGTGTTGCTTCCCCCAAAAAATAACAATTCAAAGGAAATGCCAGAGAAACTCGCTCTTCTAAAAGTGGAGTGCCAGTGATGTCCCCACATTGTGCCATAGAACAACAACACCGAATTCAACTCCTGGAAATCGATATAACCAGCGGTGTCGAAGCCTTTCGAGAAATTCTGAGGTTGCCATAATTGGGGTGCATTTAGTGTTCGTTGGAAGTGCGACTTGTGGAGCACTGTCCCTGAGTCGGCTCGCTTTTTGTGTGACAGATAAACATCCCAACATCAGCGGTCTCACGGCTGTCACTGTCACATTGAGGCTGGTTTCGCCAACATTGTTGACGAAAGCTGTTTTATGTCGAATCTATCTATCTATCGAGTACTAACCAAGCAACAACCAATAACGTTTCAAGTCGCTTTCTTTCTTTCACTGCTGAAACGCTGCATGCACCTATGGACCGACTTTTTTACTAGATACCGCTGGTCACTCGACAAAAGAATCCAAAACGGATAACACGCGGCGAAGGTTCAGCTGGATCGGGTGACATTCCATCACACGGGTCACAGTCAGCATTGCGTTTCAGAGAGTGTGGTAATGATGTTGGCTCAGTTACGACGAACGATGACTTTTTCCATTCAGCTGCATCCTAACCGGTCGAGTCAGCAGTGCCGATTGGCCTTTTGACAAAAAGCTCGTTCCTCTTTCATCTTCTTCTTTCATCTAGGGACAAGCTATAGTTGAAGTGAGAGCTTTCACGTCACGAATCCATCGTTCGGCATTGAACGACCCCGGACAAAGAAGTAGACGATCGATCAACGTTGGACCGCTTCACTCCTTGGAATTCGTAACAAGAATATATTCCAATGCCTTTCGGAACAAAAACTAAGCCGACGGTTAGAAATCATCACACAACTTCCAAAGAACTCTAGCCGGTCACATATCGACTTTGCCACCACGGTGCTCATGACGGTGGGTACTATGAGTCCCTATCACTATTACAGGTGAACGAATAAAGATTACCAGAACCTCGGGGAAAAACTTCGACAAATAAACGAACAAGAACTTGTTTTTAAGATGGACTAGGAAAAAAACCAAAGCACTTTAGAAGAGGCTAAAGCAAATACGGAGGTCCACACAAACGGCACATCCACAAACGAGTGTTTGAAAGTTGCGCAACGTAAACTAGAAGTTCAGCTAATAGACTGATAAGGAGAGCTCACTGCTGCAGGAAAGTGTCCACGAACTCCTTCCATGTGATCCTTTTATATCGTGGAACAGAAGTTGCCAGGATGTAAGTGATGCAAGCGACTCCGAGGATAATCAACGGGCCATTGCCCACACCGCCAGGATTCGCTGACTTGCCTGGACCGAAAGAGAATTCAAACTCGATGCGTTCTACACGTGAGCAAAGGGTTAGAAGCTGACCGTCACAAAATAGGTGACTTACTGAAGTTCGGCTTCGAAGAGCCTGATTCTGGAGGAGTGGTTGTTTTGTCAGTTGGTTTATTTGTCTCCGTGCGTAGAAAACAGGGAAGTCGAACATTTCGAACGACGTTTTGAGCACCGCGAGTCGTGAGCAACTGTGGAAATCGCAAATTCTGGATTGAAAGGAATAATGGTTGAAAGAGGGAGAGAGAGAGGACTACTGTACTACAGTTAGGTATCGGTTAAAACATAAAATTGTTAATATAGGCTGTCTGAATTTACTGTTATGCTACCGCATGGCAGAATCACCAGTAATACGAACGCCGACATGTCCACTCGTGTCTCAGTTGGGCGTTAAAAGAGCACCGATACTGTTTACTTCAGGTAAGCGCGGGATTTCGCTAGAGTTTGAAAAATTAACGTCGGCGTCGTGCCTATTTCGGATTATTGGTGTTAGCCACTGCTACGCCACCAGCCCTCCCCGATCGTCGAAATGAGCAGATTGCGTGAAACACCACCTTCACCATCCTGCGGGCGTTCACTGGTTCACTTACTGCGGTTAATGAGTTCACTAATCCAACCAATCACACGCCTGAACTCCGCGAGGAAGCGCAGCTCATTGGGTGGAACTATCATATAGCATTGAATTATTGTTATTGGTAGATATTATATACCATGAAAATTAAAAACAAAGAGCACCACTTAATCATTTAATCAGATTGGATGGAATAAATGCGTGGCGAGATGCTACCGGGGTTTCACTTTATTAGACTACGAGACGTAGCTAATAGACAAGAGGGTTTTGGAAGCACAAATGGTTGACTTTAAAGTTCTGCATTAACAGTACACTAACCCCGCAGTGCCGTAGAGGGTCTAGCTCGGCTGTTATCGTCGTTCAGAAGTGACTGTTAGGCCGATGGGGTGGGGCTGATGATACTGCATTCAACAATTGACTCACGCCCAACTCAATCAGCAAGTTAGCCGGCTGCTGCGGAGACACCTACAGTGACAAAACAGACCGGCCTCCATCAGTGCAGTCGGCAGAACATAGTACGACATACTTAGAGCTATGACACAGCTGACTCCAACACGTCAAAACTCGAATCCGTCATTAGCGAACGTGACACGTGACACGTCGAAAGAATTCATCACGTGTGTTGTTACATAACAAATTGTTATGTAATCCGACACCAAACTTGCTTCCTACCAATGGGGTCTTATGTAGTAAGGTTCACGAATACACGAAGGGCAGTAAAACAGAGGCGGGGACAGGCGACACCTGTCGCTGTCTGTTGGGTCTGCACATAATCTGAATTTTTGACAACCGCAGCCTCAGCATTTCGATTGCTCCTATCCAGACTTGGGTAGCCTGACAGTATCTTAGCCCTCGTGCTTCCTTCGGGTGGCATGGCATCTAGGTAGAGAAAGGATGTTCCAGCTGAAAGATTATTACTATTATTATTACTACATATTTTCGCTAGCGGATGAATAATGCCAAGAATTTAACATCTAATGAGACACATGATACCCTTGGTGATATCTCGGGGTATTAGTAACTGTCTGCGGCGAATGGACCAGCCATCCTCTAATCAACAACAACCTGCATCTTTGTTGGGAAAGTCCATGTGGCGACCACTTCCACTTGAAAAAAAAACATTATCGCTTCAGCAGATAAAAAGTGAACATCCTAGCTTGTCTGGAGTTCCCGGATGAACTTCCTACCCACATGCCGCGAGGACGATGTGCTCGGTCTCATAAAATCCCAGCCAGATGGAGTGAGCCGCATCTGACTAGAACATCTGGTCGCATTCCGCGCAACCTCGCGAAAACATTACCCTACGTCTTCCAGAAAAGTAACAGTAATAGACGCTTACATTATGGGGGACTTCCAGTCCCGACACGCGATCGAGTACGGCCGATGTGAAAAGTTTCTTATCTCCTCTGAAGAAATCAACTCCCGATATCTTGAAGTGTAGTCAAAGTGTATACTTCATCCTAGAACAGACCTCACTATTCCACACGGTATCAGGTTCCCAAAGCTCAAGATAGCTCAGTGGTTAAAGCGCTGACGGAAGGTCTGTGGTTTGAACCCAGACTTTGAAGCTCGATTGCTCGTATCTAGGCTTAGACAACTTGGTAGTATCTCAGCTGGCAAGGAGAACCAGATACATCGAGAATATGTTCTCATATGCCATTGACTGAAGAACACGCAACAATTTCTACACTACTGAGGACTTTCCCCTTACAACGATACTGAACCTGAATCTCAAGAAAGAGCCTTAAACGCTATATTTTCTGTGCGGCTCACCGAGAGATGTTACGTGGAGTCATTTTCACAGATCACATTGCCAAAGTCCAGCTGGATGAAGCCCCATTTCTTCCTGAAGACACAAGATCACCCGTAGCCCTATCCCTTACGCAAGATGTAAATCCCCCTGAGGGTCGTGAAGATGCTAATTGGTCCGTACGTTGCTCTGTAGTTAACACAATCGAATTACCTCGGAGATCTCATTTCCTTGCTTCAAGGTGGAGTACAGTGAAGAATTTTGCAACTTTCACCTCGGAACGCATGGTAAATCAAGTGGAATAGTGTAAAGTGTACTAACAGAGCTCAAAAACGTTTGTTCTCCTCCAATGGATGCTTCGTCTCAAGAGTTGCCAACAAGTAGAATAGGCTTTGCGACGAATAAAGTTACCAACGAAAAACTGGTCACACCACTCTTCAGTCAAAAGTGAACCCAAACGGCATATGCACAGCCTCTAAAGCCAAAATTGTGGGATGCTGCTCAAAAACTAAGAAAGCTGCCAGCAGTTTACCTCACGTTTCTCTACATGGACCACCAACGACCTTACAACCATGCTTGGTTCCCCAATGATCTCCTATGCCGACGATGCCAAACTCTCAGTAGATTGCGTGGGATTCCAGAAAACTAACTGGTCCTTCCCAAATGACAGTGGCACAAATAGACTGAATCTCAGTGCGGTGTGACGGTTTGTGCAGCCCCATAACTGCCTGAGCTGTGGATGAACGGATAAGTTGTCGAGTCGTTGGATCTGATAGCTCTCAGGACAGCGACCAGCACAGCAGAGCACAAGGTTAGAACATGGCGTTTAGAACAGGATCAATAATTAAAACATACACCAGTACAACTCGGCCAAATCAAATATACGAATGTATTCACCTTTACAACCAACCGGAGTGAGTGCAAAGCACTCATATCATCCAGGGAAAGTCGACCTTTAGGTGCAGGGATTCAGGAATTGAGGCGTAGAATTGATGTTTGTCTACGCTTCCAGGATTAGTTTTCGATTAGTGTTCACTGTGGCTCCGCTGAAAAACGCAAGTAGAAAGCAGAGTACAACGCAGCTCCTTAGGGTCAGAGTATTGAACATTAGGGATTCCAACGACGGAAATCACAAAAACAGTATATATCAGCAAGTTGCTTCAGTCTTTTAATGTGGTATCAACAAAAGAAAGAACTCACTACACGAAATCATAATAATCCTTTCCGAAGATAGTGCTCTAATTTGTAAAACTCTCCTCGATGCATTAAGCCACCATCATCACCATTAGCTGTGAAAACCGCACACTTACCATGCGGTGGCCATAGCTGCCACAATTTCGTTAAATGGTTATTTCGGGAGGTGGCTGATATAACTGAGTTGTAAACACAGTGGTATCAGTGGACATTCTTTGCGGGGAGCTATGCACTAAAAACAATAGCTTGGATGCATGAGTGTCACTGATGGCGTGACTGGCCCATGTCTGTAAGTGTCTCTAACCATTGATTTGCCCCTCCCGGGATCTCCATACAGGGAGACGGCAACGACCAACGCAGCTGAGTTTGCCAGTAATGGCTTTCATACTTCGCTGCCAAGCCATTGCTTGATCCCCCTTGGCTCGTTTCCACCCACCGCGTAGTTGTGCGAAAAGAGCCCTCCGAAGAAGTCTGTCAACTGGTATAAGGAGGACGCAGCCATACCACCGCAACCCATGCAGTGTGATTAGTTTATCTATCCAAGGGCGAGTCATTCCTTTCGAAAACCATTCGACGGACTTCAGCATTACTGATCCGGTGTTCCTACCAGACTCGGCCAATGCTCTGAAGGCATCGATGGTCGAACACTGAAAGTTTTTTTGATGTCCTGGGCGCGCAGCAGCCAGCCTTCTGATTCGTACAACAAAATACAGCGCAGCACAATGACATATGGCTGATGCCACGCCTACGCCACATGTGACGCAGGCTCACAAAAGCTGCTCTCACCTTCCCAATCCGGGTGGAAATATTCTCTTCCACAGGACTAATACAGCTGCTAAGGTAGACAAATTTATCCCTAGCATAACTCCTTTCACATCTTGTCATGCTTCATCCATGCGCTCTCTATCACTACAATGCTGGTTTACCACAGTTGTTGAGCTAGCTCAGATCGACGAACATCGATCCCGAATCGCTCGCCCAGTTTTCATTCCTAGGAGACGACGACTTGGGTATTGATATCACCCGACAGGGTCACTATGTAAGTGCATCGTGCTTGACGAATGGGCCCCGACAACTCTCAGTAATGGATGTTCATCTCAACGTTAGAACTGCAAGCTGTTGAAGCATATGCCGACACTACAAACAGACGCCTTTTCATGTCAAAGTGGGCTGAGCTTGATTGGGCTGGATAACCGGATGGCGCTGAAACAACTATTCACTGTGACCCAGTGCAGCAAAGTACGTTCAGCCCCAGGGGGAGTGCAACTCCCACGCCATATATTCCACGAGTCATCATTTCTGGATGAACGGACACACGGTGAGATGAGTTCTTCTTTGATGTTCTGAGACACATAACCACGCTTGGTTGTTGTATGTGTTTCGGAGACAGCATACACCAATTGTAATGTCTCAGCGAGCATTGCTCTTTTATCAATTTGACAGAACACGGACGTTGAAAGCCCTTATGTAGAAAGGATCTCGTGGACTTGGTAAAGTGTTTTTTGTTTATTGTTAATAAGTAGATGGCTGCATAAGGCCCGTCGATCAGATAACTGGCAGTCAAATGATTCAGCAGCGCTTGCTTGTGTGATGGGAAGGGGTGGGGGAAGGAAATCGGTGGATAAAAAACCGTGCGGGCAAACGATAATACCCGGTTGCCCATGCCTAAGAGGGAATTTGATTGTGAGACTTCACCTTGAGAATCTGACCCAAAAGTCTGACTCGTGAGCAAGCAGGAAGAAGAGTTATCGTAGACAACTCTTCCGGGACCCAATGAATCAATAGTCTGACCTGTTCGGATGCATGAAGCTGGCCTAACCTGAGGGCCCAGGGAGTAAGGCATTGCTGTCTCACTTCTGATGCGGCTATGTAGAATAGGTGTCTTTTGAGCAGCACCGGACTCTTTGGCTGTAAAAGTATTTTGACCGTGTTGAATAATGCGCCGGCGGTCACGGTCAACCGTTTGGCAATCGGAGTGTGGTTTCTAGGGCCGATCTTTTCTAACCCGTTCTTCCTTGGGGGGAGGTAGCATCGCTGCTACCATAAATATGGGCATGTTGGTAACTGGGGGAAACACCTTACTGCTTACACACTTCTATCGCAGAGGACAGTGCGATGTTACCCCCAGACAGCCTCGTAGCACAATTATTCCTAATACGGAGTTTGACTGCTGTTGGTCTGGCTGCTTTCCTTTGGCCTTTCTGGCATGGTTGCACCTTGTGGAACGAAGTTCCAGCCAGTGTATATCGCGTGATCACTGCAACACTCAAGTCCGACCATCATGTCAAGGTGTCAGCTGTAGGGGCACTATGAGATTGTATTATAAAAAAGATTAAAGATTAAAAAAAGATTAAAAAGATATAAAAAAGCAAAAAGAAAGATTAGCAAAATATATGGTCAAAAGAATTATGGGTGATGGGTCAGTATAAACGACAGTTCAGGAGCTCGAGGACTACCGAATGCCTCGCGTGTTCACTCAATCTTAGGCCACAATATCGTCTATCTTGGGCCACAATAACGATTGCAACAGCTCGTCTGACACACTGTGATGCGCCATTCTGCATGCCTGTGCAGATACGATGTCACGGTTGTAAGTGGGCTGAAATACCGTCAGGGCGCCCACACCTAGACAGGAGGATGGTTAGAGTCCTCAACCAAAGCATTTGGATCAAAAGCCTAACCGCAAGGCAGCGGTGTTTGGCGAGAAGTGCAAATGCATTACCATTTCTACGGAATAAGTCGCCATATGTTCCAACCCCCAACCTGGAGCACCAGGAGACTGTGTTCGTCAGACTTCTCACCACAGACCAACCCAACCTGGTGAATTGTGTCTCGTGGAAACCCCGTAGTATAGCTCAATGGGTCGCTGAGGTAGGCAAACCGTCATACCACGGTAATGTCCGGTCTTTTCATGACCTGGCAGAGGGGTGCGAAGGAAATTACGAAGCATCTGGGTGCTGTCGGTGCTACTCACCTACCAGGATGAGGACCGCGTGATCCCCAGTGCGCCTGGTTGGAGACGCTGAAATATATGGTTGCCAACCGATATCAGTGCCGTTCTTGTCGCCAGTTTCTATCCAGATTGCCTGAATGAGTATCTGGAGGTGTAAGCACTTCGGGATGATTGTAGTAATCTAGCATTAAGTCCCTTTATTCTCTTCTTCACTATAAGGCTTTCAAAGAAATCATCGTTGTACGGCAATGAAGTATCGGTGTTGAACACTGATTTTATGCTGTCAATGATGATGATGATGATGATGAGCAGATAACTTCACCGGTAAATAGAAGAATATTTCTGAAGTGAATAACGTTGTGCCTTGAATTCCGTGTTCTGAGTCAACTCAGGGATGAAAAGTGCGTATCGAACCCATTTTCATGGTCGTAGAATCCCTTTGAAGGCACCGGGAAACATAAGACCTGTAAGCTACCGGATTCCGCAATCCTTTCAAGTTAATTCTCGCTATGCACAAAGACAGTATCTCCCAATTTCCAGAGGTACTCAAAGTAGTGAGGCGTTTCGCGTATTGAATTAGTTCTGAAATTGGTGTGACAGATGAGGACAGTAGGACAGCCAAGCATTTATCGAATACTGGCGTTCTGTTCTCAATGATCATTCCGAGTGTCCTTTCGCGCCGGCATGTAATGTAAACACGTGCAGTTGTTCGACAGTCATTTGACTATTGTTTTATGCCCTTAACATCTATTCGAAGTGCAACGGCTTAGAAGACCTTTGGCTGTCTGAAAAAGTGGGGTGGAATTTAGAAGCACATTGGGATAGTCAGTAAAGTAGAACAGATAAGTGATATAAGAATGGAACCTCGAAGACATCCAGTAGGAATAGTAAAGAAGAGTAGACAAGCCTAGCTTTCAGGCCGAGTATTGGGCTGAAAAGGCTTCAATACGGAGTCTGACTTCCCATTTTGTTTTCTAGCTTGGGAAACGATATGTGGGACGAAAATGGACGTTACGAAAAGCTAGATGCAGGTTCTTCATTCATTATCCTCTGTCAGGTCAAAGGTTGGCCACCATGCTGAGGTGGGCAAGAAAAACAGCAGCCCCTTAGGTAAACGATGGTTCGGCATGGGCAATACATGGCCTAAGCAACGCAGCTTCTGGTGCTGGACACATTCTTCAATGGAAGTACCCGGTGCACAGCCGAAACCGTACTTTCTAACTGCCTCATTACGGATTCACCGACACCAACCCACACGAGCTATAGTTCTGAGACAACGATTGTCAAACACCTGAAAACGTCTCAGTTCCGGTGCTCGAATAGGTCAAGTCTCACAGCCATGCAACAAAATGACCTGTACCGTAGCCTGATACACACGACCCTTGACATTAAGGGATAAACCACTTTGGCGCCATAGGTGTCTCAAATTAGCAAACGCGGCCCGAGCCTTGCAGATTTGTGCATTAACCTCATCCCTCACACTACAATCAGAACTAAGACAACTCCCAAGATATGTAAAATGCTCCACAACTTCCAGTACCTCTCCCTGGATTGTAAGTGACGCGTTCAGGGACTGCACGTCCACGAGCATGATTTTACACTTCGTGGGCGCAAAGCGCATACCAAAGGAGGGGATGACTTTGGTCAGTTCATCCAAAAACACCTGCGCCTTCTCTTCTTCGAAGATAAGAATGATGTCGTCTGCGCACTCCAGATCGACAAGGTTTTCTTCACAGGCTATTTGGACATCAGGGCTTTGGATACCCTCCAGCGTTCGTCTCATTATTTCATCGATCACGAAGTTAAAAAGGAATAGAGTTGGCATCCCTGACGGACTCCGCTGTGTGAGGAAGCCTTTGGAGAGCTCTCCGCATACTCTCGCACATCCGGTAGTCCGAGAATACAAAGATATACTACGTCAGCTGTGAGAACCGCGTACTCGTCGTACACTGGTTGTAGCTGCCGCAGTTTCGTTCACCGATGATTTGGGGAGGAGGGGTAAGTAGCTG